CTGCACAACCCCCCCCCCCCCCCCCCCCCCCCCCCCCCCCCCCCCCCGCACTTCTCTTCTTGGCTCCCTGTGGCATCACTTACACTGTCCTGGGGTAAGGTGTTCGGGGATGCAACTTCAAAGTGCCCAAGGCATTAGGAGAGAGGGCCGTTCCCCAGCCAGGATTCCCCCTAAACCTATTTTCTCCACTTTCTCCAAGAAGTGATCCCCTTCTCATGCAGGCAATGTCCATAGCCCGGGTGGGGCTCATTATATATTTCTGAGTCACATGTATAAACATGAACTGCCAAGCTGTCCTGGGGCAGGGAGCCCTGAGCAAGCAGCTCTCCCATCCAAATGGAGGGGGAAAGGCCATCTGCTTTTTTTAATTGCTAACAAAGATGCTTCTAGTCCCCTCCCACAGAGCTGCAGGGCTGGGTGGTGGGAAGGGAGGCAGGGGACTGGAGAGGGAGCCACAGCGGGGCTCTCTTCTTTCCAGGTTGGGCCACCCATGCCTGAAATGGCCTCTATGGGGGACAGAAGGAGACTGACTCCTGCAGACCCTGGATTCAGGAGCTTGCGGTGAATTTGGTGAGACCTCTCTTCAGGCCCATGAGTGGCCTGGGAGGGCTCACCTCACCATGCCAGTTCTGGATTTTGGGCCCCTGCTTCTTCTAGACCTTAGAAAAAGGCAAATGGCCCTTGGTATCTGGACAGAAACAATTGAGCAATGTAAGACTCAGGACCCATGAGCTCCCAGGCTAAGCCTGATGAGAGAGGAGAGGGACATCCATGAGGACCCTGGGAGTCTCTGGGGGTAGAGAAGAGCAAAGTTCACAGCCACTGCAGATGTCCAGGGAAAGTACAGGCAGCGGGTGGCTGCAGGAGGGCTGTGCAGGCTAGCAGGCCTTGCTGGGGTCCCGGGGTCCCTGAGTACAGGAGCACTTTGAAGTGGTCAGCATGTTTGTAGTGAGGGGTCAAGAACCCCAATGGTGGGTGAGGGGGTAGTTGTGCACAATAAAAGTTTAAGTCACTCTGAGCTCAACAATGGGACACAATTGTGCTAGGGACTTTTTTTCTCTCTCTTCTTTGATCCTGGAAACAGCCAGTGAAACTGCGTTGGCCTTTTGCTCAACATAAAGGTGAGCAAACCAAAACCCAGAGAGTGTGCACAATTTGCCCAAGGTTAGCAGCGAGTGAGCCACAAACCCAAGAGACAAAGCCAGACAATGGACTCCAGCTCTGAGAGAGCTCTTTCTGCTTCATCTAGTAGCCTCTCGTGATCATATTTCCTTTACTGAGAGTCAGCCCATTGGCCCTAAGAGAATATGTGTATACTCATAATGATAACAGCACAGAGTGGGCTTTTTGGAGTCATTTTATTTGAAAAAAAAAAATTTTTTTACCAAAGTAATGATGCACAGGGTTTTAAAAAAATATATGAAAAATGTACCAATAAAAATCCTAGCCATATACTCCTCCAATTCCCCAAGCCTCTTACTCTAGGACAACAACTTTTACCTATTGTAGTTAGTTCTCTATTTTATTTTAAACGAATTTCTCAAAAGAATGTATCTATCTCAGATTTCATCTTTTCACTCCCTGTTATAAAGAGTTTTTACCCCCAGTGCTTCAGGAGGCTGAGGCAGGTGGATCATAAGTTCAAAGCCAGCCTTAGCAACTTAGACCCTATCTCAAATAAAAAATAAAAACGGCTGGGGGCGCTGGGGTTGTGGCTCAGCGGTAGAGTGCTTACCTCACACATGTGAGGCACTAGGTTTGATCCCCAGCACCACATCAAAATAAACAAACAGAATAAAGGTATTTTGTCCAACTACAACTAAAAAAAATGTATATAAAAAGAAAAAAGGGCTGGGGATGTGGCTCAGTGGTTAAGTGCTCCTGGGTTCAATCCCCAGCACCAGAAAAAAAAAAAAGATTTTCCCACTTACATATCTCTGTTCATCCTGTCCCAAAGTGCACATCTATCTTCCCTCCCTCTTCCATCCTCCCATTACAATTATTTCATGTTAATTAAAGTCAATGTCCATATTCACATTATTATATTGAAAAATAAATTTTTCACTTCTATCAGCTAATACCCCAGATTTCAGTGAAGATAAGCCACTAAGAAAGAAAATACACTGCAAGTCAAACTCTCTGATCATCTAAATTTTTAATGTAAACTTATTGAAAGTGCTCTTATTTAGACATGTATTTTTATGACATATTGATCTAGTACAAAAAAAGAAAAGAAACGGAAGCAAAATTAGGTATCCTTAATCTTAAAATTCAGTGATGGTCTTTTCTGAACCACTTCTGAAACGTTCACTTTTTTGTTATCTTTTTGCTTATTTCTTGAGGAGTATCATTTTTTTTTTTTTAACTACCCAGGTGTCAGTGGTGTAGTATTTCTAAAGAGTGGGCCACTCTGGTCTCCAGGACTGTCTCCCAAGCCATTCGCCCCATTCATTCTGCTGGCACATTTTTTATCCTCCTCCTTTTTTTTTTTTTTTTTTTCTCCCGGTTGTGCTAGGGATTAAGCCCAGCGGACACTTTCCTGATCTTACCAGAATGCGCTTAGGGGGGTTTTCTGACAAACCCAGATTCATATTCCTTCCTCATATGATCTCAAAATGACTGAAATGTCAAGGGGTTGCTGGTGACCAGTTAAAGCACCAGAATGATGACCAAGCCCACACCTGCACAGCAATGACAACTACATCAGGACCAAAGTCTGGCCAGTAGAGATTCTAGGATGGTTATGACTGCAGGACACATCCTGATTTCAGAACGATTAGAACGTAGAAGTGTGCATCTAAGAATCAATCAAATAGTCATAGTTGGATAGAGTTTCCTTTCTTGAATGACTGTTTTGATTTTCTTCATTTGTTTGTTTTTTCCCCAAAGTTCTAAACATCTTACAAACCCCATTTTCTAATTCCATCAACAAATTATTTTGATGATCTATTTGTTCCCAACCTCTTCCTCATCCCCAACCTCTGTCCTCCTGCCCCAGGGGGCTGGTGGTGGTCTCCTATTGGCTGTGGACCTGGGGTTGCCTCTCTCCTCTCTCCTGTCTTCTGAATCCCATGTTTCCACCTTTGTTGATTTACTTTGCTTATTTTGATGGCATACATCTCTAGTATCTTCCCAAGGAAAAGAACATGGTAGATTTGTTTTTAAAATTATTGCATGTCTGATTTATTCTCCATACTTGACTGACAGTTTTGATACAGAATTGAAAATAATTGTCAGTCAGGATTTAAAGGTCTTTCTTTCTCCATTGTCTTGTAGATTCTCACATTGCTATTGAGGAGTCTGAAGCAATTCTTACTCCCCATCCTCTGTAATGGACTTTATCTCTTTTTTTTTCCCCAGGCTCTGGAAGGTTTCTCATCTTCTCTTTAATAACAGACCCGAATCTTGCACTGATGTGTACAGGTATCTCGTGAGAATTCAGTCAACTTTTTCAATTTGAAGATTCGCCCTCTGTTTTGTTAATTTACCTTTATTTTTTCCCCTTACCTTTTCTCCTTTCTCTTCTTTAGAACTTTTGTTAATCTAATGTACTGTTGGCCCTTGTACATTGATCCTCTCATTTTTTGATTTTCTCTATTTGTCATTTCTTGGTTTTGTTGTTCTAATTTCTGGTAGATTTTTCTTCGATTTCATCTTCTACACCTTCAATTTTTATTTTCCTCATTGTACTTTTAATTTTCATGTTTCATTATTACTTTATATACAAAAATTTTCATATATCAGAAGATATTAGTTTTTATATAATTAAAAGCATTTTATTATATTGTCTGTTTCTTACCATTTCCTTCATTTTGTTTGTTTTGGTCTTCTCTTTCCCTTTGAAAGTTTTCTTCAAAGATCTGATGATTTTTGGCTATTGGTGCATATTTTTAAAAATAAGTCACTAACCATTTCCCACTGAAAGGAACCAGGGCTTCT